GAGAAGAACCCGTCCAGAGGACCTAAACAATTTTTTTCTTTTTCAAAACATGACAACTTTGTGTAGCACAAAAACCAGTACAGCTCTGTACAATGCCTTTAAATTACCTGGAAACGAAGGATGATGGTCCATATGAGACCCAAGGTTAGACGGTGATTCCCATCCACAATGTCATGTGAGCCCATATTTTCTAGATGGACCTTTTGTTCCTTCAGAAACTGCAGGGCTTTGTCGACATTCTCAAGGCAGTGGATACGCATGCGGCCCTTAGTTGGTTTTGGCTACGGAGCAGGAAAAAACAAACWTTTTAGTGGGACATGGTTGAACAGAGCAAACTAGAAATACAYAAAGAGCAAAGAAGCTGACATCAACTTAAATAGCAAGACGAGTAAAAGTCGAGGAGGAAGTGAGTCACTCTAAAGAAACAAATAAACTCTTGATTCCTGTTCCCTCAAGAYATGAGGTGTGTTGAGGGTCATGTGAGGGGTTCTGGGTCATGGTTAGGACAAAGAAAAGCATTTTCTTTGTAATACTAACCAGCTGTTCTCCTGAGAGCACTTCGAGAAGGCGGATTAACATTCGRCCATCTCGGAGGTCTGTGTATAAATCACCAATACGACAGGTCACTCGGCCTAAGTGAGAGTTCACCCATTTGGTAAAAGTCTTCTTCTGCACTGCTTCACGTTCATCTGGAACAAACAAAACGTTAAAGATGAGTGAGTTCACAATACAAAAAAGTCATCAAGTCACCTGACAGAAACACCGCAAATCTAGCCTGGATTTATAAATAAATGGAAAAAATGCCAATTGGTTGTTTTCATAGCTTTATTATTAATTATACACCAAAATTATTTAAGATTTAATAGTATAGACATTTAATTATAGAAACAAAACAAATTAATCTGAGATAAGTTGTGTGTATTAAAAGGCGCACCACTCATKATCTTATCACATCTAACCCAGCCCAGATCCGATACTCATAACTGGCCAAACCCCCAAGTTCAGGTGAAAGCTAGTTTGGCACAGCAACACACATTATGCCAGAGCCAAAATAGCCGAAGAACTGAGAAATGACTATCACTGGTTTTACATTAGCTAAAAATATACATACTAGCAGGAAATCTTTCTGGTTAAAAAAAATAAAGGCACAACCCAGAACAGAAAGCACTCCAAGTCCTATAAAAATATAAGCACTTGCCTTGTGCAGTTCATTTCACAGATAAGCTATTGTGTTGAGTCTTCAACATCTCTAACCAAAGTTTATTAAAGATTTAAATTTTTGAGGACTAAAATGGAGAAAACAACATTAAATATAATACCACTGAATTTTCCCTTCTACTTTAAAAACGTGACTATAAAAGAATTGACAAAAAATGAGGATGCAACAGCAGCGCAGACATATGGACTGCAGAAGTAAGAGGCTAATCCTGCTCCACCACCTAACAAGGTGACCTAATTTCAACAGCATAAGGTCTCCCTGCCTTTTGAAAACACTATTCCAGGCGTGCCCTTACTGCACCTAACTCACATTCACAAAAAAAAAAACTACTTTTGAGCAGACACAACATCCTGAATATCAGTATTTAAACAAAGACAGAATTGGACCACAAAAGCCACTGCAAAAAAAGTGCTTCTTAAGAAATGTTATTTTTGCTAAAGGATAAAACATCATGGTTTGTTTGAAATTAACCACACATTTTAGTAAATTAAAAACAAGAACCCCAGACAAGGTTAGGCTTGCYTTTGCCTGTTTTTTGAAAATGCAAAATCGTATTTAAAGCTCCCAATCTAAAACATAGACATTTTGATAACATTAAAATACCAACAAGTAAAAAAGCAAAGCAATATGTACACGTGGTAGTACCCAGGGACCACCTATTGTGTGATTATCTATTATCAACTGTCATCTAAATAAAGGCGCAGAAAAGAAAAGAGTTGGAAATCTMAGAAGCCTTCGAGGATGGGGGAACACCCTTGTTTATAATGTRATCTGATGCAAACTAGAGGTGTTTCATCTGTATTCTACACGCTAATATCTACGCTTTTATTTGTCCTGCTAGCAGTAATGTTGCAGTCCYACTGATCTGCTTGCAGCCGAAGGTATTCAAGCTTTTTTGAAAACTTTCCACACAATATTGTAATGATGCTTCTAAAAAAATAACAAGACTACTGTGCTGCTAATCTCTGGATTGATGCTATTATTTAAATGCAGCAGCACAGTAGTGGCATCACCATGCTGATGACAAGGTTCTCAGAACATTGTTGAATAAAAACCATKCTTGAGTCAACATGTACCATGAGACTGGCAGATTAGTCCATCTATCAACACAACAGTACAACATAAGTGAACAAACAAGCCAGCGCAGGAGTGGCTTTAAAGAGTCTGCTAGTGTGTGGCCAATATAACATAGACGAGGGCTGTCCAATCCTGGTCCTCGAGAGCCACTATCCTGAATGTTTTAGAGGTTCATCTGCTTCAACACACCTGATTTAAATGAATGGGTGATTAACAGGCTTCTGCAGAACTTGAAGAGGTAATACAATCACTGGATCAGGTGTGTTGGAGCAGGGAAACAAGTACGCCATGCAGGACAGCAGCCCTCAAGGACCAGGATTGGACACCCCCGGTCTAGACTCCATGTTGCATAAGTGCTGAGGTCTAACACACAACAATGCACTAATTTCTTGTTTATCTGAACAGTCTTGAGAGGATCTGCAGGGGAAAATAAGAGACTAACTGATCAAATCGTGGTTCACAAAGCCTGAGGACAATCAGCAAAAAAGATAAAACCTTATCATAGAAAGTAAACAGACTTCAATTGTCTCTTAAATATTAAAGGTAAGGATATGAAAACATTGGTGGAATAATTAATTCCAGTTGTCAAAATGTGATTTATAACACCAGAAATTAAGGAGATAGTAAAGAAGCATTGAATGCTGTTTAAAGTGCCTGTGGCACATCATTCTCATGTAATAAACATGAATGCATTTTTTGGAAAGATAAAATTGATAAAATATTGCAAAACAAATTTCATGTTGCTGAGATGAAAGGTTGTTGAGATCTTTGCATGTGAAGAAACAGGAAGTGATGTCAAAGGGGGATGTCAGCATGTAAACAGCATTGCTAAAACAGTTAACAACACTGACTGTAGAGAGAAATCTGATGTTTCTTTAGATTAATTTTAGTCGCTATCAAAGAGAGACAAAGAAGAGTTAAAGTTTAAATAATTTTGTTTTAACAGAGACCWGCAAGTTTATTTTATTAATGAGTTCCCCTTTGATGTCACTTCCTGTTTCACTTTTGCTGAGACAAATTCAAAAGAAAATAGGCCGGTTATGAGACAAAATGGGTAAAAATCATGTTTATTTAGCCAATTTTCTAAAGTATAAAGATGCTTTCTTTGACTTTTTGTATTTGAAGGATGGTCATGTCACAGGCACTTTAAAGTAACTGCTGAATAGGGTTTTTTTCTACTAATGTAACTTAACACAAAAAAGTGACTAAAGGCAAAAGTGTTCACTCAACCAGATGTGATGGTTAACTAAAGCCATGACCTATAACTACCCCATTCTCATTTTATTTATCTTTGGTTTATGTATTTTTCCTAAAAAAAAATCTATCACATTCACAAGAGCATTGAAGCTATAAAAACCAAAGAGCTACTTGGTTAAAAATAAGCCTTTTAGTCCCTGAGTGGTTGTCTTCATTCTGTGACTGGATGCTGATGTTTAGGTTGTCTTAAATTTTCAGATTTTAAGTTCACGCCGTTTTCAATGAATAACACTCAGTAACCCTGCTTTGATGGCTTACTAAAGCTCTTAAATACCACACAAATAAATGACTCAATAACTAAAAGCCCATAAATCAGTTTGGAGTTGTCCAATGAAGAAGCAGAGTTTGATTGCTTTGACAGGTGGAGTTACTGTGGAGTAGTCTACATTCCTTTTGAGGCTTAGTCATGTTACGACAGCACCCGGCATTAAGGGGGGATGATGTGGGAAAATGCAGGGGTCTCTAAAGAAGCTATCCTGCCAATCCTTTAGTGCACTTCTTACATTGAACAAAAACACAGACACAACTGAAATATATGTTTGTTACATACTTTTTTTTGTTGTTTAAAGAAGAATAAAACCACCATAARCTATCCCTTGTATGGTAAATGCTAAGCATGTTTTTAGGTTTCACATAATTGAACATTCAGTCTGAACCCTGTCTGCAGTATTTGCAAACTCACTTCTAAACGCTGCATTACCTTTAGCACGTTTGAACGCTCAGGCTCAACAACAGGAAGCTGGGTGGGGAACTGTGAAACTTTTAGACATTGATTGATGACACTGACAACAGATCGAAAAGAAAAAAAATGACAACTCCAAAATATCTCTATGATGTCATTTGTCTCACATCACSTAATTACTGGCAGCCTGCAAACATTGTTGCACAATTACAAAAGAYGCCGAGGGACAAATGATAAAATGTTGTCTTTCAACCAGAATCTCACAAATCACAAGATAGTGTGACTAAGTCTTGCATAAGCCTTAACTTTTGTAACAAAGAAACTCTCGTAAAAAATAAAAAAAAAAACAAGTCTTAAAAGAAGCAGTTTATCTCACAGTAAAAAGCATGAGCAAACACCAAGTATAATAAATGATACTATGTTTCTGTTTAATCTTTGCTGGATTATACTGTATGTATGACAACACACAAGTATTGTGTGAATACACAGCAGTTGTCCTTGCTAATACACTTTGTGTTTAGTGAGGTTTCAGTCGACTGGTGAAACTTTGTGCTTTATGTTTCTGACAGTCCAAAAACATGTTAAGGTTCCCTTCAGACCCCAGCCTTCTTTAAAAAAAGATTTGTGATCTTATTGGGATTTGTCTGCTTAAGAAAAAGGTTAAACATTTTGTTTAAAACATAATAMATAGAAATGCCCAACAATAAATGCGTCTCAAATTTTGTGAAAGAATGTTGTTGCTGTTTTTTAACTTTAACATAATCGTCACATTATCTAACTGAACCGCTCCTCTCCAGCATTTTTGTGCAGCCCAAAAAAAAAAAAGTTCAAATTTGCATCACCATGTTCCTTTTCCAATGTTTACTAATGACAGATGAGAAACTGGTAGTTAAAGGCATCATTAAATGCTCCAAGCACATTTGGGCATGTCCGGTTTCTTTGAACAAGTTTGTAGATGGTGGTAAGCTTTAAGTATATGTCAGAGCAAGACTACAACGAAGACCTGTCTCAGCCAGTGCCCTCTCGACTATTCAAGGTACTGGAGTTGAGCTTTTGTTTTCTATTCACCATTAAAGAGACAATTATGTTCATTAACAATACTTATCTGCAGGGAATCTAAGCAAATATGTCAGTGAACTTAATCTCGTCTGTGTGGTTCATMGCTACAGGAATGTGTTCAGTGAAAACATGTGTACACATACAACACAAGCAATGACTTGTGGGGCAAGGCTTGTGTACCAGATGGATATCATATTATAGTATTGTGTCAAAGTCCTTAGACAACCCTTGATTCTTCACATTGTATTTGTAAAAAGCCAAAATTGCCTATTAACCTAGCGCATAGTCATAGTTCTATCCTTACTCCTCGATGATACAAATTATTTTGTTGTATCTACAAGGATCCCTATTTGACAAGCAGTTTAAATAACATAAAAGAAAATTATGTGCTTTTG